CACATTCGTTCACAAAATAGCACTTGGTGGGCAAATTCCACAAATAAAAGCAATTCGAATCAAAACATGTCCACCAAGACTCAACTAAGCTCATGCAAACATCATTCAAACATTCATTCACCACAATTCACTTAATTCCTCGCCCTATTGCTAAGTTCAACATTCAATTCACTAAAATTCTCCTCACTTCAGTACCTACTCCGATTCTCCAAAATTAACCAAGGTAGAGTTCAAAACAAACCTGGAGACTCAATTAGGAAGGGTATGGGAAGTGAGGAGAGGGCAAGGAAGGAAAAAAACTGGCCGAAAACATACCGGAGGAGGGTCGCCGGAGCTTCGTTGGAAGCTCACCGAAAGCTCGTCGGACGCTCGTCGGCGGCAAATTCACCAGAAAAAATGTGCTCCAAATCCCCCCGCAAGTTTGGCGAAGGGTTCCCTTGATGGGGGGAGAATGGGTCTGTGATTGGATTTTGGTTTGGCTCGCCGGAAGTGGGTGAAAAGAGCGAAGATCGTCGGAAAATCGCAATTTTCTGGCAAGATTGAGAAAATTCCGGCGAGTTTTGGCTCGTTAAGTGAAGGAAAAGCGTTCACGACCCTTTAATAAGCAGACCCTGAGGTTCGCGGACGCTGACACACTAAAACACAACACCAAACTGCGACCAAGTGTAATCGCAGTCCGGAAATGCAGTAACAGGCAAGCTCTAATTGTCAACCCGGGGTCTAGATCTACTGCCTACTCCGTGTATATCTGTTATCTAGCAAACTAAGTTGAGTGATTGTTGATTTAAGTAAAAGCAGTAAGAAAGCAGGAAATGGTTTGGTTTTCTGAAGCAAAGGAAGAGTCACTCGGGAATGAGTCCCCCTAGCTCCTTAGTTAGGTCCCAGTTGTAATTACTTTTGGTTGCTTTACTACTGATTATATTGCGGAAGATCCGACAGTAGCTTGGAATCTCTTAAGCTGACAAGCCCTCTCAGTCAAACTACCCGGCAGACGACTAGTCTTCACCGAGATAGAACGCTGAGGCAATGAACACAGAACTCCACTACTGGAATTAGATTCCAGTACAAAGCAGTGAATCGACTAACTCTCGTATAATCGATTCACTACTACCGATTGAAGAAGCTCTAACAACCTAATCAGATTCTATCTATCTCAGGTTGCAGCAGGAATCAATAAAAGATGATCAGACTTCCATTGACTCAATCAAAACACTTCAATCGATTATAATCAAGCAATATCACAATCCAAACGTAATTACAATCAAGATTCCTAACACATGGAACTAGGGTTCTTCATATCCAAGTGAGAGAGAGTTCTACTCCATAGAGAGAGAGGGAAACAGAATACAAAGCAGTCATACTCATAACAATGGGAAGAATCTGCTCTGGGATGTCAATCTTCACTCCTTTGATGATCTCCAAGCTCGATTGATGAAACCCAACTCCAAAATCACTTCTAGGATGTGTTCTTTGCACTTTCTCTCTCTAGGGCTCTGTTTTTGCTCCAAAAAGTAGATTCCCTTTCCTTCGGCTCGAATTTGGGTAAAAACCCAGAAATTCCCGACCACATGGCTGTGTGGCTTTCCCAGCTGCCCGTGTGAGTGTGCAAAACGCCGCGTTTCACTTAAGTGGCTTCAGGTATGCTACACGGCCAAAACCACATGGCCGTGTGGATGTCCAGGCTGCCCGTGTGAGCTCCCTGGACTTTCCACACAGCCACAAGGGATCCCCTACACGGCCAGTGTGGCTTGCCCATGCAATTTGGTGCCACACGGTCAGGTCACACGGCCGTGTGGGTTTTTAGGCGTGCTCGTGTGGCTTCCTCAACTTCTCGCCAAATGTCCAATCTTCGTCCAATCGACCCCGAACTCGTTCCCAAACCTTCATTCACGTACTAGGACCTGAAATAAGACTCAAACGATGTAAGAATGGTGGACAAAAACATGTGTACATATCAAGTCATTAGACGCGTTTGCCAGTTCACGGTCGTTAAGACCATGAAATTGCAATCCGTCTGTGAACTGGGGGAAACCAGTGGGTTTGACATACGTGGAAGCACCCTGGTTCACAGAGATGTTTAACTGTTCACGGTCAAATTTGACTGTTCACGGTCAAATTTGACCGTGAACATAGCAATCCGTCCATGAACAATAGTGAAAAGAGGGTACTTTCGAAAATTTTTACTCGAACTACTCCATCGTGCCTACTATCATTCACGACACAACTCAAAATACACAATAAAAATTCTGGCACAGCAATACCACTCAACCACTTGAACTCTTCACTCGACACAAAAACGAAAATAAGTAAAAGAAAACAAACTTACGTTGGCTTTCCTCCCAACAAGCGCTAATTAAGTTAACGTCACTAGCTTACCATTGTGGATCTATCGCACATTTGAATGTGATGCCACCGAGAGTGGATCCGCCATGATCTCAGGGCGAGGCATGTCGCCTCCCAACTTACTCTCCATGGGTGGCCTTCTTGGCCGATGACTTTCGCTTTACCCTTTTCCTTCCTCCGGGCATTAGCATGATTTATCCTTTCTCTCCAAGCTCTTTTCCTTCCTTCTTCGGGAGAGATGCCCTCTTTGCTTTCCTGCTTCACATCATCACAAGGAACAACAGTAATAGTGGGGTTCACCTTGCAAGGTTCTCCTCCACTTGCAGTCATATCACCCAGTTCCACTTTCTTCACATCCCACTCCTAGGCTTAGGTTCAATTCCAAGAGTAATTCTCTCCTCACCATCCCTCAGAATCAAAGTTCCTCATTTACATCAATTAATGCCCTGGTGGTGGCAAGGAAAGGGTTCCCTAGTATGAGTGGCATCTCAGAATTCTCACTTATATCCAGGATCACAAAATCCGTCGGATAACAGAATTTCCCCACTCGTACTAGCACGTCCTCCACAATGCTCCTAGGACTAATAACAGAGCGATCAGACAATGTGACACTAAGCCTTGTAGTCTTTAGTTCACCTATGTCTATCCTCTTAAAAAGCTTAAATGGCATCACATTTATGCTTGCCCCTAAGTCCGCTAAGGAACTTTTTATGTGATGAGTACCGATAGGGCTGTCCATTTGGTTTTGGTTTTTCGGTTTTAACCGAAACCAAATCAATTGGAAAGCTGATGGTTTTGGTTTTTCGGTTTTAAACCATTTAGAAACTTAATGGTTTTTATTTGGTTAAAACCAGAAAACCAATAAGAAACCAATATGAACGAAACGCTTTAGACCCCTTTCAACGAAACGCTCACGCAACTCTTTCTTTTCGTTGCTCTGAATCCCTAGAACTAGAACCCTTTCGAAATCCCTAAACCCCTTTCGAACAAAATGCTCTCGCCTGCGCACGAGGCACCTCTCTTCAGCTTCTTTTCGTTGCTCTGAATCCCTAGAACCCTTTCGAGGCACCTCTCTTCTTCTTGTTGCTCTGAATCCGGCTATCTTTGGCAAAGGCGGAAACCTGAGTTGCTGCTCTGTGGGCACTGATTCTTAGCTCGAGGAACTAGGTCGGTGAATAACTCCATGGGTGGGCATTGTCCAGCTTGAGCATCGATTCAGTGTCGATTGGAGAGAACTGGGTCGTCGGCGAATAACTCCTCGCCTTCTCCTACTCCATATTCTGTTCTGAACTTGCCGCCATTGTTCACTGGAATCTCAGTGAGTCCCTAACATAGCTTGCTTGCATCTATCTTCCCCTATTCAATTTGTTGATTTTTGTATTTGGGTTTCGTTTCTGGTGCTTGGTTGTTGGCTAAAGCATGGTTTATGTGTTGATTTTTGGATTTGGGTTTCGTTTCCGCCATATTTTATTGTGACTCTGTTTGTGGCTTTCATTCAAGCTCTCCCTACCTTTTTCTGGGTGGTACGACAAGAGCCATTTCCATTTGGTTGTTGTTTTGCTTTCTGGATCACCGAGAAGTCATTTCTTGCTCGGAAGTTGTTTTGTTACAAAAGCAGACAGAGTGACGTTCTTTGGGTTCTCTGGTTGCTACTATTCTTTCCGACTTTCTATTCAGTTACTCTTGGGGATTACTAGAAAGGAAAATTGATTGCTTGTAGGGTAATGGATATTTTGCTTTCTGGGTCACCGAGAAGCATGTTTGATTGCTTAAGCTACTGAATTTTCTAGCCAGAGCAGTAACTGTTAGTTTGCAGAGACAGTGACAGTGAGATAAAAGACTTGATCCTTGCTAGGTAAACGGTCGGTGAATAGCAGGGGAGGAGGTAATTGTTGTAAGGAGTGGATATTTCATTCATTGATTAGGAAGATGTGGATATTTGCTTATGAAGATGGTAACTGATCCTGCTGCCTATTGGTTACTCGTCCCCCCTCTCCCATTTGGTTTGCTGCTGATTCTCAGAGTCGGGCTATGGGCTATGACACTTCGCTTAATTAGTTCTTCTTTTATGTACTTGCTTTCTTTTGATTGATTTTTGCCGAATTCGGTCGCTTGAGCTAGTGGAGTTAGCATGATTTAGTAGTCGAGTTTCTTTGGAATGGAGGATTGGTTAAGTTGACCTCATGCTTCTGGATTATGATTTGCGTATGGCTGTTTGCTTTATGAGTATGGTTGTCTCTTGAAAAGTAATGGGTCTGTCACCCTGGAAGTCTTAAAGTGATTCAATTTCTATCCTTGGAGATGTGGATGTGGATTTAAGTTGTTTTGTTCAGTATAGGGGAAACTCTTATGGCTGTCTTTGACAATCCTTTTGATAGTACTAGTAAGTGTGCATTTCTCTTTGTGTACTTGATTGTGATATTAAATTCACTTTTGATATTGGCAGGGAAACTGAGATACCATTATCACAAAATGTTTCATCTAGTGCTGCTCGTCCTAGAAGTGGGGATGGGAAGAAGAAAGGAAAGTTTTGGGATGATTTCAGGAAAAAGAAAAGAGAGGCCATTCAGAAAGGAGCTAGAAAAAGTTCCAAATTTGAGTTTGCTAGGTACCTTGAGGAGGAGGAGGAGGAGGATGATGAGGAGGTTACAACAGCAATGGTGGGTTCTGAAGATGATGAGTATAAGTTTGACATCTTGGGATGGTGGTCGCGAAGTGGGATGAAATATCCTATTATTTCTGAGATGGCTAGGTATATTCTCGCTGTTCCTATTTCCACGGTTGCTTCTGAGTCGGCATTCAGTACAGGAGGTCGAGTTTTAGATTCGTTTAGGACCTCCTTATCCCCTGAAGTTGTGGAGCCTTTGATTTGCTGTGAAGATTGGATAAGATCTTCTGACTCTGAGTTGGTGGCTGATGGAGAAGATGAGGGTGATGAAGTTGTATTTCAGAATGGTAAGAACTTATGTTCATTCTTATATTTGTTATTGTAATCAAATCATATTCTAACAAGTTATTGTTTATGTTATCTAGTATTTGTAGCTTTTCAAACTCGAAGTGCAAGTGCACCTGCAGAACCTAGTGGAAGCTCACATTCTCCCCATGTTCTGATCTCGAGTCCTACTGGGTCACAAGTCGAAGAAGATTATTTTGATGAGGATTTTGATGGGAATGATGAGACTGGTGTGGATGTAGAGTCTGATGAGGTGGAGTGATGTTGATTTCTAATTTATTTTAAACAAATACAATTATTTACTTTTATATGTTCTAATCAATATTGTTACCCAAAGTTGACATTGTGGATGTTATTAGTCTTAAATGTATTACAGGAAGGATAAAATGTTGGTAATACCATTTGTAGTATAATGTTATTAGGTGACAACTTACATAAAAGCAACCAATAGGGGACATAAATACGAGCCCCAAAACCATGGCTAAGAGTAACTTCCTTCCTAACTCGTATGAAAGACACAGACCTGAAAGAGACTCTCAAAAGGGTTTCTGTTCAATCCCTGAAATTCATTTAAAAAAAAAAAAGAAAAACAATATCATGTTTCCTTGATTCATTGTGAACCATATATATACTATTTTTTATAAGAGTGTACAAATAATAATAATAAAATTATTTATCATCAAATTTTTTTTTGTTTCTTTAGATATGCATGCCAATTATTAATTTATAATAGTCATTTTATCATATACCATTATTATGACATTTATTCAATAAAAAGAAGGGAAATAGAAATAAATATGAGTGTATGAGTACATGTTGGTTTTTTGGTTATCCAAACCAAAACCAAAACCATTAAGGACCTTATTGGTTTTTGGTAACCAATAACCAATAAGGGCCTTAATGGTTTTGGTTTTTGCTGATTTGGTTTTTGTTTTTTCATACTTAATGGTTTGGTTAACCAAACCAAACCAAATTGACAGCCCTAAGTACCGATGCAAAGAGGTATGGTGAAAATACCTGGATTGGGTTGCTTCTTGGGCAACCAGTTTAGGATGAAGGCTGAGCACTCCTCGCCTAGGGTGACATTGGCGAGGTCTTCAAACTTCGACTTATTGGAGAGAAGCCCCTTGATGTATTTTGAATACCTTGGCATGTGGGCCATTGATTCAAGGAAGGGAATGTTGAGGTGGAGCTTTCTGAGCATCTCTATGAAACCTTCACATTCCGCTTCCAATCTTTCCTTGTGCACCCTCGTGGGAAAAGGTAGGGGTGGTGTGTACTCAGCCATAGGTGGTGGCATTTGCAATGCCTTCCTTGCAACTCCTCTCTTTTCTTCCAAGGTTTCTTCTTCTCCACCCTCGCGTAGAGGGTCTTCCTTCTCATTCAATTCTTTGGCAACAACCTCCGGAGTCACCTTCCCACTTCTCAAATGAATTGCATTCACCCTGACATGATCCTTGGGGTTGGTAATGGTTTGAGAGGGTAGGACTCCCTTTAGTCTCTCGGTGAGGATCTCGACAAGATTGCCGATTTGAACTTCCAAAGTTTTGGAGACTTGCTTGATGAATTCGGAGTACCGCCTCAATCGAGGTAAACTCGGAGGTTGCCACATCCATGAATTTCTCAATGTTCTCGAAATTCTGAGAGCTTGTACTCACAAAGGTGGTCACAAGGTCTTCAAGTTAAGAGAACTTGTCGACTTGTTGTTGTTGTTGAAACCCTTGACCACCTTGTGCTTGGTATGGTTGTTGAAAGTTCGAGTTTTGGAATTGATGCCTTTGTTGGATGAAGTTTGGCCGAGGTTGATAGTTTCCCGTTGGACCTTTGAAACCGAGAGGTCTTGGATTCGTAGGGTAAGACCAAGCGAAGTTTGGATGATTGCGCCACCTGGGGTGGTATGTGTTGCTATAAGGGTTGTTCCCTCTAGTATTGGCAATGAAACTCACTTGCTCCTCGAGGGTACTTGTCTCCTTCATCGCTTGGCAATCCGCAATTTCATGATTAATGCTCGAACACCAATCACAAGACATCAACGCTCTCTTCCCTTGCTTCTTGTCCTCAAGGATCACCTCGATCAACTTGTCAAGCTTCGCTTCAACTGATGCACTAGATCCCACACTTCATACTCCTCTTTTGATTCCTCTCTTCCCACTTCTTGTCAAGCCCCAATCATATCCTTTGAGAGCCATACCTTCGAGAAACTCGGTCACTTGAGGTGGGGTCATGTTCATCAACTTCCCTTGGCAAAAAGAGTCGATGAGAATCTTGTCATCTTGAATGAGACCTCCATAAAAAGTCTTTATCCGAAATTGCTCCTCGAATCCATGGTCATTGAAGGATGTAGTCGGTGAATCTTTCCCATTCATCCCTCAACGTCTCATCTTCCTCTTGCTTAAAGTGAGTGATCTTCTTCCTCCACTCGGCCTTCTTGTAAGGAGGACAATATCGGGTCATGAAATTGTTGAGTAAATCATCCCAAGAGATGATGGATCGAGCCGAACGGTTGTTGAGCCATCGGAGCGCCTTCCCCGCCAAAGAATAGAGGTATAGCCTCAGTTGCAATGCCTCCTTGGGGACGCCATTTATTTTCAAGCTTCCCGCAAGCCTAAGAAATCTTTGGACATGCTCTCATGTCGATTCATTGGCAAGTCCGTAGAATAAGGCGTTGTTTGAATCATTGTCACAAGAGCGGGCTTGATTTCAAAGTTGTTGGCGGCCACGGGTGGATGTAAGATGGGAGATTGGATATCCTCCCGTGGAGCCATGTAATAGCCCATAGTCCTTGGCTCTTCCTCGGCTCTTGCTTCCTCAGTTGGGTTTTGAACCGAATTAACACCACGATGTTAATTCCCACCATCTCAACTTCAACTTTTCCTTCAATTCCTTCAAATTCGGGACCAACTTGTTGTCCCCTCTCTTTAATTCTCTTTCTTTCCTCCGCTAGCTCCCTCTCTCGAGCTAAGAGTCGGAGAGTCCGGTTGATGTCCTTGTCGAGTGGTGTTAAAGGCGTCGGATTGCTCCGGGTCATTCACCTCCTTACACACACTTAAAGAACACAACACGTCTAGCACAAGCAACACTTCAAACTTAACAAAACTGAAAATAAAAGCTAGATTAACACCAAACAATCTTTTCAAGATAACGGACCGAAGTTCCCAGGCAACGGCGCCAAAAACTTGACTCGCTTCGAGTACACAATAAAATCCCACCTAAGCCCAAGTATAAACCTTAGATGGGTGCAATATAGGGTAAGTATGTTAAAATATCAACCCGGACAGGCCCATGTACCGCTACTTTGATTGTTTGAAACATTATCTAGAGGATATTTTTGGTGAAAACAAAGATCTAAAGCTCAAGTACTTGATAGAGAAATGGTGTTGACACTAATTGAGAAGGCTTCACCCGGGTGTTGCTCCCCCTAGCTAGCAATTAGAACTTGATGGATCGAATGGCCGCGTGTGGCGAGGGGGTTGTTAACCGTAGGGAAGTCTCTCAACCTATTGACTAAGGATTGGTTAGACTTCACCCTCGAATCGGAGTTTGGACGGCCACCCACAACCAAACCCTAGGTGCTAATATGAAATAAGAGGTTCTCTCTGCATTAACCTAACAAGGAGACAATGAATTGCATAAGAAAACCCAACATTCAAGCCTCTTTCAAAGAAAGGAAAGGGGTTTTTCTCTCTACCTAGGTTAGAATGGCAATTAGATCGATAGGCTTTCACACAACACAATCATTCATGAATAATACCTCCACATTCACATTAAACATAACCACATACAAATCATTCAATTCATACAAGCATTCACATAATTGTAGCTAGGGTTTACAAAAACCCATGTGAAAGAAGGGACTAATCCATGCTAGGAGAAGGGAAAACACAAGAGAAAAGAAGAAAACCCATCAAAGAGATGCTAGCCTTGCTCCTTGTGTTGAAGAGATCCTCCTTTGGGGGAGGAATTCCGAATTCCTTGATTGAAGATGAAACCCTAGCTTCTCCTCTTCTTTGGTTCGTCACTGTCTCACTCTAGAAATCTTAAGAAGAAGAAGTTTTTCGCACTAGGTATCCTCAATTCTTCTTCCTTTCAGCTGGCCTTTTATACTGAGATTGCGCCCAGTTCACGGGCCAAGTTCACGGATGTGAACATCAAGATGCGTCTGTGAACACAACGAGCTTGATCTAAACACCCCGCTTCACTTCAGGGGTTCAAGGTTTGTGGTTCCTGTTCACGGTCTTAACGACCATGAACAGCTTTGGTGTTAGTAACCTCAAAACCCCCTCTTGATGCTTCGCGGTTCACGGGTTGTGTTCCAGTTCACAGTTCTGGAGACCGTGAACTCCAATGATGGACGGTGAACACAGACTGAATCTTCCTCTTTCCTCAGTCTTTGCTCCTTTTCTTCAAACTTTCGACTTCGGGGTTGGTTTCACCTGTTAGACTCTGAAACACGCCGAAACACAAGAAACCTAGCGTAAAACCACCCCTTTTGGAGCTCAATTGCCACAAATGTCAAAGAGAAAAGGGGATAAAAAGTGTACAATTAGGCCCGAATCACTGTCGTAACTTGGATTTTAAACTCGCTACAGAAGAATATTAAACGATTTTTTATGAGTCATGAGAATGCAAAGACACTGTGGGATGAATGTAATCGCAGGTTTGGTCAATTAAGTGCCAACATATCGAATAACTTGGAGGATGAGATTCACATGTGTAAGCAAGGAATTGGTCATTGTTCAATTTGTCATTTCTTTAAACACAAAAGACTACCTTTCCCTATAAGCACAAGTAATGCAGCTAGGCCATTTCAGCTTGTTCATGTTGACATATGGGGACCTTTATCAGTCATGTCTTATGATGGATATAATTATTCTTACCTTGGTTGATGATTGTTCCCGAGCTTTCTGGTTGTATTTGATGCATAACAAAGTGAAGTCAAAGGGTTCTGTAATTTGGTTAAGAACCAGTTTGATAGCAAAGTTCAAATCATCAGAACTAATCAGGGAAAAGAATTCAATATGTGTGAATTCTTCATGTCTGAAGGCATTGAACATTAGATGTCATGTGCGTATACAACATAGCAGAATGCTCGAGTTGAATAAAAGCACCAACATATATTGAATGTGGCAAGGTCCCTGAGGTTTCAGTCTGTGATACCACTAGAGTTTTGGAGTGATTGTGTTCTGCATTCTGTATACCTCATCAACAGAATGCCAACCCCTCTCTCCTTCACAATGTGTCTCCTTATGAAATTCTCTATAA